CGTGAATTAAAAAATAGTTAAAGATTTACATCAAATTCAAATTTATATATTTTGAATATCAACATCTCTTTCTGGTCATCGGTATGGCAGACAACTTTGCTACAAAAATCCATAAGATTATGCATTGACAAGAAATAAATTTTTACATTATTTTTAGAACTTTACATATTTGAAAATTCAAATGTCTGCCAAGGTCACTTGTCTATTGAAACAACGAAAGTTTAAGTATAGGAATGAGCAAAGCTAATTTTCAATCCATAATATTCGATAACTCTTAGCATCTAATTAAAAAGGGGCATATTTCATTTTTCATGCAGCTCATACTACACTTTCAATAATATTCATGCTCGTAACCATATGTAAAATGGTGTTAGAACCCAAAAATCTTCAAAAAATGGTGATTTCGGATTTTTGCATTTTCAAATTCTCTACACTTTTATCTTTCCAAAAATACCATTATTTAATCTCTATGAAAACTAGAACTGTAAAAAATTTAGTTTTAATTTGTCATCGAATGCTTTGATAAATGAGGATATTTACATAAAAACGCGTTTTTATCCAAACGTGATATTTTTATACTCGATGTACCTTTTCTCAGGAACTACTGCTCACAAGTATCTGAAATTGTCTTGGCTTATTTATTATGTTTCCTAATATTTACTGAAATGGGCATTTTGTGATAAACTACGAAAAAACATTTATGTGAGAAAAGTACTAAAGTTTACTATGCCTAACAAAATATTCTGTAAATTACTCTAAAATTCAAAATGTTTCAAAAGCACATTTCAGTATAATCAGATATGTATACTTTAATTACACAAAACAATTCAAGCGTGTATCTAAAGCAAATTTTGAGAAAAGGTACATCGAAAATGGCTAATTTAACATTATCGATGTAGGGGTTGCTGATACCCCTTAAACAACATATGGTCTAATACATTTTAATTCTCTAGAACAGAAAAGTAAGAAAATATAATCTGAATTCTGCATTTATTTATTATAATTTTTTCCTCTTTATCTAAGTTCGTTCATATTCTAATTACTACTTCTATGTTTATTAACAACTTATCTTTCTTTACCTGTACTGTCACTTCTATTTTCGTTGGCTTTTACCAGGACACACGTTAGTTAATGTATAAAAGAAAGAATTCTTTATTTTCAGTGAGATATTTTGACGGCTACTGTTTCAATACTACTTTCTTACAACTTCTACCAATCGTTTGATTCAGCTTTAGCTTTTCCTAGTCGCCGTTGGCCCCTCAGCGGCCGAGCGGTAAAGTCGCTGAACACTGGTAGTTCGGTCCGAGGTTCGAAACCCGCGAACGGGCTGGCTGCATGGGTGTTTTCGTGGTTTTCCCCATGTGTAACGTGTATACGAGCCAGTTTCCCTTAGAAAGTCCTCCACGAAAGGCATCCCCTCCCTTTAGGCAGATAGCCCTAGTGTGCTTTGCCATAATTAAATACACCACACCACCTAGTCACCGTTGTTGACGCAAGTTGACGGTCTGAGCCAAATCTTATAGATGAACCTGTAAAATTCGTATTTTAAATACATAACTTTTAATTTTTGTGTTCTGGTGATCCCAAAAGCAGCGGAGTGTTTTGTTATTACACGATCTGTGTAAATATATTAGTCTTAAAATCCAAGAGGTTGGCTTTTTAAACTTCCTCTTTGCGTCCTTTTGTTATACGAGGTGCAACAATTAAATAACGGAAGCTCTCTTGCCTTAACCATTAGCCGTAGGCTTGATGACAGGAAATGAAGATGGAATGTAGGTGACCTTTATGTCACCAGTACAAGTGGAGCCATATCGCGACTTGTAGAGAGATGTCTTGTTTAGTTGTTTTTAAACTTTTCTTAAGCTGGAACATTGTTTTGTCGGAGTGCCATCATCATGATAAGTGCGCATAATTTCAACAGAGCTTTAATCTCAAATTTTTTGTGAATTAAAAAAAAATTCAAAATGAGTATTTTCAGTTAAAGATTTCTTTCAGTTAAAAGAAATGTTTGCCGATAATTGCATGTCACGCACTTGAGTTTTTGGATGGCACCAACAATTTATTTAAGGTCGAGAAAAGATGGAATATGATGACAGTTCTAGTCTACCTGTAATATCAAGAATTAATGAAGACTTTAAGAGACAATAATAACTGTTTTGCATGAGGAATTGCAAATTGCGTAAGTTTGCGGAAAATTTACTACCAAAAAACGCACACTTTAGCAAAAGGAGAACAGGAAAAGCATCTGCTGCGACATCATGGCACGATACATTGTGAATACTGAATAGAATACGCCATCGCACGTGACAAAAAAAGGGTTTTCCATGTTTCGTCACATGCAATGACACGATCATTAACACGATATTCTACAATCCATACCAGTAAGAACCTCCCTCTTCGCTTGGGAGCAAAAAACTCAAATGAGCAAGTCAAAAATGAAATTAACGCTCATCTTCTCGTCCTAGCGATATTAAGGGACTCATCACGATACAGTAGGTTACTTCTCACTATTGCAAAAAGTACTTTAAAGGAAGCAGACGTTTTAGTCTGTTGATGAGATGAAGGCAAAAAAAAATGCGGATTAATTACTATGTATTTGTAATAAGGTATAACTTTAAAAGTAATCTCGTTATTTAATTGTAACACTATGTAGCTTTACAGCAAGCTAAACGACTATAATGAGCTCAAGGAGAAAAACAGAAATAGGCAAATTTTCCTTAACAGACGAAAAATACCTCATATTACCAATATCATTCACAAAATGATATCTAAAGTAATATTCACATAGCAGGAACTATGTAGAATCGTACGACACTTAATTACTAACTGAATTAAACTAAATATTAATTATTAGGTGAGTTATTTAGATAACTGAGCCTCATTTGCGGCGCAACTGATATAATATACAGGGTTATCTGGAAACTTCGTGAAACATATCTCGTAGTACTTCGACATTATGTCTTTTGGAAGTTTTTAGAAGGTCTCAGAGCTGTCCAGGAATCACCGTATGTTACGGATGAGCGAGAAAACTGTGATTTTGCCTATGTCTCTGTTTCTAATTGAGCTGCCTAGGGTTCACAGTTCTTATGCCAACAGATTCAAACTTGTCAATCTAAAGTGTAATGAAAGAAATAAGACTTACAAACATAAGTAGCTAAACGGTCGGCTACAAAAATGCCATTATAGCATTATTACATGAAATACACTAAATAAACAAAAAACAATACATAATATTATAAAAATAGAAATAAAACAAATTACAATAAACTAAAATCAAGTTTTCAAGTAACTGCATTTACTTAATATGCCTGTTTAACGCAATGAAGTTAAAATTAATTCTTGAAAAATCAAAGGAAACGCTTATTTACTTTGATGAAAAACTTGACTGGAGGCGTAACATTTGATTGATTTGTATTTGGTAATGAAAATTGTAGAAAAGAACATTGTTTACTGTGTTGGTGTGTCAACAGTTTGTAGCATTTAGAACTATTTAAAGATGCAATTTCAATTTTTTTTAAGTCCAAAGGGGCTTTGTCCTGGAAGGACTATTGGTTTCGTTTTGCGATTTAGCATGGGAACCCTATAAACGGCATATCACTTTTCAAACCGTTGCCACCAAATACTATTGCCCTGTATTATATTTGAAGAAATTAAATAATGAAGAATCTGCATAAATGTATGTATAAGGGCTATCCAGAAAGTAGATTACGTTTTGGAATAAAAAAATAAACAAAGTATAGGAAACAAATTTTATTATATACAGATGAAAGCCACACTCAAATACTACTTTCTACATAGTCACCATACAAATTAAGGCATTTATCGTAGCGATGTATGAGCTTGGAAATTCCTTCGTCGAAAAAAATTCGGCCGCCTGCGCCTTCAAACCACTTCGTTTACCTCTTCTTGCCTTCCATCTTGCACAAAACTTGTGGTAACCAAGCTTTTCGCTGATTTTTTTTTGTGGTGCAACAAACTTCGCGAAATTTGTGGAAAACTCAAAGAAAGTTCCGTTATTGTGAAATTTCGATTTTCACGGACTTTAGCATCGACTTTTTCGAGAAGTTCGGCGGTCCACTATGCTGGGTCTCCCACTTCGATCTTCGTCGTGAACATTGGTTCGGCCATTTTGAAATCTTAGACCCACTGACGCACTCCACCTTCAGTGATAATGTTGTCCCCATACACTTCACGAAGCTGCCGATAGATTTCTATCGGTTTACAGTTTTTTGCAGTCAGAAACCTTATTACTGAGCGCACCTCGCAGCTCGCGGGATTTTCAATTAACGCAGACATTTCAAACCGTCACAGTATCTGAACGGAGCACAGCACGAAACTCTCACTAGCACGGCTAGATGCAGACTGAGCTGCGCAACGCTCTGACCCCAAGATGGCCGCGCTAGCCCCGCCCCTAGCGGATACAGACGGAAACGTAATCTACTCTCGCACTGTGATAAAACAACGGTACATAGAGCCATCCAATTCTGAATGACGTAATCCTACTGCGAATATGGGAATCTGCAAGCCCAAATCTGAAATTTGGAATTTGTTTTATCATAGATTTCATATTTTGTAAACTTTTAGCGAGATTTTGATTAACAAACTCAACGATTTAAAAGCGAGCAATGGCAGCACTTTACGAGGGGGGGGGACTATTTTATCTCCAGCTCGCGGAACTGTGTATCGGAAATTTTAAAGATATGATCATTTAAAAATTATTTTGCGACATTGCTGTTGAACAGAATTTCATGGTTTAAGGACAAAGAACATTATATTTAATAAATAAAGGTAAGACACAAAATGTTAAGAAAATCGCCCCTTTGGACAAAATTTAAAGTCTCAAACCTTTCAGATTTTTTTCTTTAACTTTTTTTAAAAATCTTTTAATTGTTAGGAGTACTTAATTGTTTTATCAATTCATTGGTTGTTAATTTATTCTTCATTTTATATGGTAATTTATATTGTTCTAGAATAGATATTCTGAAACGAAGTTTACTTACAAACACAGTCAGGAAAGTTCGCGTAAGGTGACCAGTATCCTGTCCTCTGATCGCATTCAAGATTCAGATTATCCGATTTATCAGGAAATTCATATCCAGGGTTACATGTCGCTGTACATATGCTAAAAAATAGAGTGAGGGTGATAAACATTTTATCTAGCATTAGTTTTAGAAATTATTTGAAATGATACCTGAAATATTCAGCTTTTTTAGACTGTAATTCATCATATTATATTAGGAAACGCAGAAATAAAATAATTAGTTTTGAAAACTTCTTGTGCCAGACATAGTGGAAACTTTTGTGATAATATCTTTCTTATCCAATAGACGAGAAATATTTGAAAATATAACACTAAAGTCTGTAATTTTTCTATCTTGATATTACACTGGACTAAAACGTGTGATCCATACAGAACGTCTGTTGCTACATTCAAACATGAAATCGGAATTTTTCTATTTCCCAGAAAGTTTTGTGACCTTTATTTAAACTTCATATGGGTACACATAAATTTATATAGCATCGTGCTGAAAATGTTTGGCAATGCAAATTTTGTTTGCTTTCGCGTCCAGGTTAATCTTTACATCCATGAATTTAGTATGTGTGTTGACCGAGAAAAAGCTTTTTGGTGTGAATAGTTGTAAACGAGAATATGTTTTCGTGAGTAAATTTCAACACGCGTTTTATTGATTTTCTTAGCTTATATATTTTTAGCACGCAATACGGATAAAACGTTTAAACTTATGTTTTCGCTCCTTCTAATGTGAAATTCCGTTAATTATAAAAATGATGTTTAAAAGGTCCAAAGAGTCCTTATTGAACGTTAACGTCAGATACATACTTTGGAGTGTCAAATTGACACAATATGTAAAACACATTTAGTGTTACGTTTTGCTTCTTTCAGTGTTAAATGCCATTTAATATTAAAATAAAGTTTAAAAAGTAAAGAGTTCCCTTGTTGAATTTCGACATCGTACACACGCTTTGGAGAATCAAAATGTCGCAATACGGAAGACACATTTAGTATTACGTTTTCGATCCTTTTAGGGTGAAATACATTTGCAATTAAAATGAGGTTTAAAAGCTGAACGAGTACCTTGTTGAACATTGACATTATAACGTTGCGCGCCTCTAACTAGCACGCAACCAAGAGGTGACTGTGAAAGCTTGTATAAACCACAGAGTCTTATAAAGGGTTTAAGTCCCTTTTTATTCAACGTACTAATTTACAATTGCGTTCTCTTGACGCTTACAAACGGTGCCAACTCGGCAGTCAAAATAAAAATAAAAACCTGAAAAGAAATTAAAGACAATATTCTAACTACGAGGCTCTCTCTCAATAACTAACTCACCGCGTTTTACAATACGGCTGCTAATTCAGCAGACTTGAAGCTCACTGGAACAATTGCAACTACTTCCCGCCAAGCACCATAGGCCGCAACGCGAGTTTTTCAAATCTCTAAACTACCTCCGCGCTCGCTAAGTAAGAATAACTCTCTCTCACCGAACTTGTTTCCTTCTTTTTAAATCATACTACTTCCGCTGATAATTTGAATGCTTGCGCGTTCTACTCAAATTTACATATTCTGGCATTGGCAGTTCCAGGGGAAAGTAAGGATTGACAGGAAAGATAGTTTAAACTTAAATAAATGTTAGTTAAAATAAATATAAACCCTACATTTGCCGCTGCCAGAATTTGGAAAACTTGGAAGCAGGTCCTACAAACGACCTGTTGTAAGTTTATCTAATTCTGAACTAACTGGCGAAAGCCTCGTTTACACAAAAATAATCTTATATAACAATTAAAATTCTGTTACTCTTTACAAAGGTTTCTTCTTACAGCAACTTTTCCTGGACTTCATCAATCAATCTTGGTCTTTCCTTCCAGATGCTGGAAGGAATAAGTATCAGTATCTTTCTACATACATTATAATTTACACTTTCTTGACACAATAAATTTTTGTTTTTAACGTTTCGTTTTTCTTACTTATTGCTTAATTCACATTCATTCAATTTTTCAAGCATTAATTTAACTTTACCCTGGCTCTCCACCGTGTGTGGTGTCAAACGGGAATATTCGTGTTTTAGTCTTACAACACTTCCCCTAACCACCATGATTTGTTAGAATTCAACAACCAAATAGACACACCTTACTCGACATTCTACAACTCAATGAGCTACTTTAATTCTTAAAAATTCAAATGTAGGTGGAGAACCCTACAAAACACATTCATTCTAACTTCCCCCTCATTCATCTTTTAAACATGCAGGCTTTCGCTCTAAAGCATGACTTTACAGTTTAATACTTAAATTTTGACTTCATTGCTTTTAAGCATTCACTTTTAGCATCTACAATTTTATGCTTAGACTAAACTAAATTCTACTTTTACATAACATGCAAGTATTTACTACATTTACAAAAGTTTAATACATATGCTTTTTACAATTTACCATAAAATGAATAAGAGAAAATAAATTTTTACTTTACTCATCCTTCGCCAAGCTGGCGGCACTGAAACTAAAATTCTTATTAGTACATACAAGAATACGAAGTTATTTTTATCTCCGGCCAAATTTTGGCTTTAACATAACAGAATTAGTCTTTCGACCAACAGAAAATGCTTGTTTTTAGCTTTTACACTTAAAGAAAATAATACTTTTGCCTTAGCTAAATAAAGTAAAACAAAACTAAGTCTCAACCGAGACATATTGACTTTCGTCAAAACATAGAACTTCGTACTTATGCATAACATTTCGGAACAAAAGAGAAAAAGATTTATAGAAGGTTTTAACTTATCTTTGAGTTTTCGATGCTTGAAACTCTGTCATCCGTTTTTGACAAAATTGATCCCAAGTTAGAGGTGTCATGGATGTCAATCTTCTCCTTGTTGATCTCCAATTGTCGTCCCCGTTGATCTTTCTTTTGCGTCCTCTACATGCTGGCCTCTTGACGGAGTAATCGTCTGGTTGTTGGCTTTTGCGTTTCTGCCTGGGACGGCTGGTCTTGACGTCCTCCGGTCTGGTGTCCTTGAATTTCTTCTGTTCCTCGTACTTCTGTGCTTCCTGTTGGCGTTTCAGTTTCCGGAACGGCGGCCTTGCTGGCACCTGACTCTGTGGCCGTGCGCGCGTTCTTCTTGATGTGTAATTCCTCCTGCCATCCTTTGTAGGTGGTGTTTTTCTTTTTACCACGGTTTCTTTACCCGGTTCATCTGTACTTTTGTTTTTCTTAAACGCCGGAGTTTGATAATCATTTTTTCTTTTTGATACGGACGTCCGGGTTGTAGAAGTGCTAGGTCTCTCTTCAGTTCTCCGTTTCTTGGGTGGTGGAATAGTTGTTGCAGTCTCTGGCCCTTCTATTTCGTTTAGACTTGAGTCCTGCAAGAAACTTTTAAGGATTTCAAAATCATTGGGATTATAGTATTTTTCACCTGGTCGGACGGGCTTTTACAGATTTCCCCTCTCTCGTTTTTAAGATATAAAACTACTCCTTTGATTTCCTGAATTACATAGGGGCCTTCAAACTTTGGAGCTAGCTTTGCCATAAAATTGTCTGGGGCACTTGATAATAAAAATTTCCGTTTCAATACTTTATCCCCAACTTTAAAATCTGCTTCACGGCGTTTTTTATCGAATATAAATTTCTGCCTATTTCTTGCCGTATCCGAGGTTTTAAGCGCCTGATCAATTAGTTTTTGCACGTCCTTTTGTTTGAATTCCTGCTCTCTTTGTTGCACAAAGAATAATTTATCTAAAGGCGTAATTAACTTTCTGCCTAAAAATAATTCTGCTGGAGATTTTCCCGTAGTATCATGATGTGCCGTTCTTAAAGCATAAGCTAATTCATTTATGTAGCCATCCCAGCGATTGTGATGTGTGCTAACGTAACTGCGAATTATTTTTACAATGTTTTTATTAACTCTTTCTGCTATGTTAGCCTGTGGTCTATACGGAACCATTTTGATATGGCGTATATCAAGTCCATTGCATATGTTTTCAAATATTTGACTAATGAATTGTTTTCCGTTATCGCTAATGACTTTTATCGGTGCACCGTATTTTAAAATGTATCTGTGTAAGAATGCATCTGCGACTGTTTTGGCTGACGCGCGTTTAAGTGGAACAATTTCTATCCATTTTGAAAATGATCTACTATTACTAAAAGAAAACGATTTTTATTTAACTCGCTCTGGAGGAAGGGACCAAGGAGATCTATGCCTAAAATTTCATTCGGAAATGTAGCGCGAATGCTATTTAAGTACCCGGCCGGGCTGTAATTAATATCATTTATTAACTGACATTGATTGCAGGACCTGACATACGCCGTACTATTTTGTATAATTGCGGGAAATATACCGCCTCGCGTACCCCTTTTAAAGTCTTTCTGACCCCGAGGTGGCCCGCTGTTTTTTTTTTTTCGTGCAACTCCCTCAAAATGCTTAATCGAAGCGAGGCTGGGATGACTGGCTTATACTCAAGATTTTCGTTCGTTGTTTTCGTATAGAATAATAAATTATCTATTATTTCATAGTTTTTTGCTCTATTTCTTATCGCATCGATATCTGTATGCTCAAAGCCTTCGGGGTCTTTCAAACAAGCATAGATATTTCCAAATTCAGGATCAGCTTTCAGTTCAGTAATAACCGTATCTCTAGAATCTAAAATTTTTGAAGTCAACACAGCGCATTTAAGTTCATTACCTTCCTCGTCCAGTTTTATACGAGAAAGTGCGTCAGCTACATTGTTTTCCTTACCCGGTTTATATTTTATTGTGATATTATATTCTTGGAGTTTTAAAGCCCATCTTATTAACCTGGGCGTTAGGTTTTTTCCCGAGTAAAGTCTACCAACAGCCGCATGATCCGAAAAGACAGTTACTGGCGATTTGCCGAAATAAACTCGAAATTTGTGTACAGCCATTAATACGGCTAATGTTTCTCTTTCTGTAGCTGTATAATTCCTTTGTGTTTGATTCAATGTTTTACTAAAAAATGCCAGCGGATGGTTATTTTGCATAAGAACCGCACCCACCGCATAGTCTGATGCATCTGCCGCAATTTCCAGGTTTTCGTCCCCCTCAGGAAATTTTAAAACAGGGGCATTAATAAGCGCTTCTTTTAATCTTTC